CATCGATTTGAAGGAGGGAGAGATGTCGATGACCGTGCCGTAAGCGCTCAAATTGGGCTCAAAGGTCGACCAGGGAATACCAGACGCGCAGTGGATCACTGCGTCGTACTTTTTGCCCGAGGGGCTCGTGAGACTGGCGCCCTGGGGGGTCTTATAGTCCAAAACCTCGTCGGCGCCAAGTTGCTTCACGAACTCCACGTTCCGGTCGCCGCAGGTGGCCGTCACATGCAGGCCTGCAAGCTTGGCGAGCTGGACGGCGTAGTGTCCGACGCCGCCGGAGGCAGCGGTAATAAGAATGTTGGAAGATTTACCTGTGCAGTCAAACTTGGTCGTCCCGGCTGCCCTCAGCGCCTGGAGGGCGATGAGGGCAGCGGTCGGCAGGCCTGCACCTTCAGCCGGAGAGAGTTCGGCGGGTCTGGAGACTGTCATGTTCGTCGGCGCCACAGCGAACTCAGCAAGTCCACCACTGTTCTGCCATTTCATGAGAACTCGAGATCAGCACAAACGTGAAGCTTGCATGATAGATAGACTGTGAAACAAGCATGCAGTTGGTCTTCCTTTGTCTTCTCGGATCCCCGTCATATGCAGAGGGGCTACATGGGTTGCAATAGTTAAAGAGATTTAGTGTCCGCAAGTGATGTATACAACGTAGATCATCAAATGGAATTAATCCCAAAGAACATATATGATTTCAACAGATGATGAAATGATCATGATCTCTCAGCAACAACAACAGTACGGGATTCCTCTCTGTGGAGTTATTATAGTAATTGATCTTCACAGGGATGTGAGAATTGGCACTGTACTTAAATATCTATCTCTGCTTTTAGACCCCTCCAGTGAATGAGCATAAAACGGAGTAGAAATTTGTTGCATGGAATACTTACTGGAAGACTAAGCATTGCAATGACTTTGTCACCTCTCTTAAAGTCGGCAACCTCTGGACCTGCCTCAGAGACTTCTCCCGTTACATCAACACCTGTTTCACAAAACAGAAGTAAAATACTACATGACACGAGTCTCCAGCAATACAACAAATCCTGTAGAAATTCCTGTCAAGTTCAGAAAGCTTTTTTATGTCTCCATATGGGCCAATGTCAGCCTGATTTTGCAGTCAAAGCTTAAATATCAACCGTCCACATCATTTATGGTCCTTATAAACTTCCCAGTAATGTTAAAAGATAGTATACTATGATGCATTGTGAACTGTGCTTGGTGTTTGTATAATACTGATACAATCAAGTATAAGCTAGATTTAGATGAACTTGTGTAACCATAACATGTGAAATGAACAATAGGCATTGGACCAGTAGCTCATTAAGACATACATAGCTGATATAATAAATACAAGCATCATTTTAGCTTGCTTTTGGGTTTCTGATTGCAGATAGTTTTGATACATTTTAATTTTTCGATGTCAAATTAGAATTGTATCATTCTCTCTTTGTACATTAACTAATGAAACACCAGACTATAACCTTAAAAACCAACACCGAATCATATTTGATGTGTTAAGAATGCTCAAAAGGTTAACTCCGGATGTCTATGCTTCCTATGAGTCAATTCCATGATTAACTTCAAAGAAAGGATGGCGATTATGCTCCAAACTGTCAATCTCAAACAGTTTTAAATCAACCAAAAAGTTTATATGCATTTGAATATTAAATAATTATATAAACACGAAGAAAAGTCTGTATATTATGAACTAGAAAACTGGTCAGAGTGTAAATCACATAAAAATATGTTAGAAAATGAAAACAAAATTGACATTGATGAAACTTTAGCAGAGCATTTGACACACTTACGAATTGGCGTTTCTCAACTCTCTTTACAATTTATAATTTTTATCATTGATTGAATTTCTTAATCGTAACTCAGTTTATTCTTTGTTGAACGGAAAAGGAAAAGCTTACCGCTTATCATAGATTTATCGCCTTCATGCTTCGATTATATCAATTACCTTCCTATATTTAACTATACGGTTATTGAGGTCAAATGCTACTTTACCCTCACTTCATCCTACTTCACTTCAGGCACTAATTTGGGGGTTGAAAGGACCATGCGTTGGGAATCCCATCTGACCTTGGTCTTCTTATAAATAGATATCATTAAGGCTCGGATTTGAAATCGAATTGATTCAATTATCACCGTCAGCCATCCTAACATTGATCCATCTCCAAACCCATGTTAATGGAAAGAGCTTGATGAAAAATGATGAAGGAAGAACCCAAACTGCATGTGCCTCCGGAGAAACATAAAAGATTTAGTATATTTTTTTCTGCTGAAACAAAGAGTAGATGTTTTTTATACTTTCCACAGACAAATTTCAAATTCAATTGGACAAAAAGACAAAAAAACAAAAAAACTAACCCCAAAATGAGATAAAAACCCTGAACTAAATCTAGAAGTAAATTCATGAAAATTTTCTTCCTCTTAATCATTTCGACAGAATGGAGGATGTAACAAGTTTGTGAAAAACTGGACATATGCTTATTGATAATTTCTTTTTTTGACAATAAAATATGCACAATTTGCAGTGACTAATTTGACTGTAGCCATTAGGATTATGAATGGATCAACTTGTAATACAAATGCATCAAGATTTTACCTGGTACAAATGGAAATCTGGGGGGCAGAAATGGACGCAGCATGCCTTTCTGAACTTTCCAATCAATTGGGTTTACGCTTGTGGCTTCCAGCTTCAACAAAACCTCATCCTTCTTGGGAGAAGGAATTGGGATTTCAGTATACTGCAGTGAACACAATCCCGAGTTGACAAAGGCTAAATTAATTACAGTGAAGAAAGGAAAGCAATGCCAATTGCACGAATGCACATAAGAGATCCCTTTGAACAGCACCAAGCTACCAATATACATTCTAAAAACTACTTGTGTTCAACAATTTGAAGAATATTCCAACTCATGATCTACTCTGATACTGATTTTGATCTGGTAACTAAAAATCCCATGAACTTGGATTGTTAGGAAAGAGACCAATAAATTTATAAGCCTTGACCACATTGTTGTGTGTATCTTAGATTGCAAAATGACTTCATTCATTGGAGAGTCCCTCGAATGAACTGAACGCCAACATATTTCTATGTTCCTTCATCAAACTCCTCATAATCACTTTCTCTCTTACTTTTCAGGTCTATCATCTGATACCTTTCATTTGAAAGTGCCTACCTCTATTATGTTTTAACTATATATATATGTATATATTTTTGTAAAAGATAAGTGACGAATATGAGATATGATATCACGACCTTATCACTAACAATCCAAGTCCTCTACCTGAGAAGTTAATTGATATTTTCTAAATTTGTAAGATGAGATTTTTGTATATCGTAAGTGACTCAAGTATATCAACATGAAACTAATGTTTTAGGCATATTATGACATAATTCATCTTCAATTGAATCAAAGTGCAACTCGACCTTGGTTACTAGGATCAACTTAACTTTAATATCATATTATATATATATATATATATATTTGAATTTGAGTCAGGTATGTATATGGTTGACGAAATACTAATACAACTAAAAAGTTTAAATAATGAAGTTAGAAACCTTATATATCATATAAAATGTTAAACTATTGGTAACATGAGATTAATCCCAAACTCATCTGTTTTACCTTCTCATTTTAAATCTTTTCATACACTATACCTAAAACATTACATAAGTGTCCATGCAACAGATGATATGTAGATTGGATGATTTACTTTTGTGATAACATCGACGAGACTTCTCAGTATAACAAGTCATGTAATCTTCTATACATATATATATATATATATATATATAAAAGAACAAAGCGTCCCTTCTCTCGTCCTGACTTCAATTATCACGAGTCACGTGGCTCCTCCCATCATCATTGCCTTCGTTACACCATATCCCACACTTTTTTGCCCCTCTTTTGTCCTCTACTTTACCGTCATTTTCTTCCCTTCTCTCTTGAAATCATTTCCCCTCTTAATCACCCATTCTTTCATTTTCCATGGCGACTTTTTATAGCTTGGGTAATTCCCAATCTTTTATACAAAACACGAAATGTGGAGCGTATAAATTCCGCAGAATAATTATAAAACAAAATGCAGTAACAAATTCAGCATGCTCAAGAAGGTAGAGAGCAGGAGCCAAGTTGAAGAAACGAGGATGAAGAAGAGAAACACACGTATACCTAATCCAACTCTCTTCTTTCGGTGACACTCCTCTCTTACTAGGTTCCACACAACAACACGCCTGAACCCTCGACCAAGCAAACAAGTAACCCTAAGTTTCTTCGTTTAAAAGGCCGATAAGCAACAAACAGAATCAAAGACCGGGAAGAAATGACATGGACTTTTACCTTGAGACCGGCAGCCCCGCCGCCGTAACCTTCGTACTGGACTGCCTTCATAATCTTCGTGGCCATGCGAGAGAGAGAGAAAGAGAGATGGTTGGAAAAGGAACAACGTGAGGCACTGCCTCGAAACACTTCGGATGAAAGCCGAGGGAGGGAATATTTGTAGCAGTAGTAGTGGTGGTGCGGTGGCCAACTACCACTCGTCGTGCCTTACGCCACCGGTGCGTCCTATCGGACACATTATTGACTTAGTAGGTGGCATAGTACCAAAAGTATGCTCCGTGAACATATGGAAAGAACATACATGAAACATGAACATACATGAAACTTTCGCCTTGGTTAAAAGGAATTTTTAGATTCTGATCATTTTGGCTGTATCTACACGGGAAAGTTGCAAGCCACCCAATCGTTCGTCTGATTTGAATAAAAGATTAATATAATGAATTTGATTTGATAAAACCTGCTGGACAGCTGAGACGGTAAACTGAAGACCTTTTATAATATTTCATGCAGCGTACCCTACGTTGATACTTGCCCACCTCTCGTACATGACAAAGCATCCCTAACAATTTTACACAAATATTTTTTCCTCTTATAGTATAATAAAGTATTATGTTTTTTTCACATTGGGGCGATCCAAGAAGATGAACATTCGACATAAGTAACATACTTTTATAAGGTGGGTTCAATTTCAAGAGCAACGGGCAGGAAAAATCCTGCACCACCAAACTGTCAACGAACATATCCTGCAAGATTCGAGTATCCTAAACATGTTTTCAACCAACATTCACAACAATGACAAAAGATGCCACTGCTCAACATAATCTCACCAAGCAGCATGGAGAAAGAAAGCTGTCTATATCAGAAAACAGATCAGACTTCGATGGTATTGGAGGCCTTTCCATTTTCCACCCTCCCATCAACAATTCCTTGTTGCAGTGGACATTTCAGACGTCCTCTTTGCTCCGGTGATGCATTCTTCGGCAAAACTACGGAATCAGAAACTCAATCGTTTCTATCCCTGTGCACTTTCAGTCAGATCTGTCGAGACATTAAAGCCTGGAGGAATGAACACAATGTCATCCCACTTCGATGCAGCAGAGCTTTCCTGCATGTGGCGGGTAAGTGGTGTTGACAGCCAATCCAAGGGCAACAAACGTATGTCGAATGTGCTGCTACCTAAGGACGTACCTTCATAGCTTTGATGATATCCTCCAATACACAAACCTACAACAAGAACCACAGGGCATATCTTAACCATGAAAAAGAAAATAGAAATAAGGGGGTAAAAATGGCAAGGCAGCTTTTGCTTCCAAACTAGTTGCAGGACTGTGAGATGTACCTGAATGTCACCCTTCCTTAAGGCAGGGTTTAATTGCCTCTGCTGGCGAGAAGCTCTAGACAGTGAGTCTTCCAGGTCCTCCTTAACAGCAGTACATGAAATAGTTTCAGATTCCATACTAAAGCTGTAAGAACTATCACATGCCAACACTAACCTTTCTGAAGAAAGCTGGACGATATCTCTTATTTTGACTCCTCAAGACTAAGCTCCTTGACTAAAACATCAAAACCATGGATCACTATCCAAAAAATCTCAGAGCAAAATGCAATTAATGTAAACAATCAGTTTAACATGGTAGGCTTCATCCAATCAGAAACAGAGACTCTGGAAGCAGAAACCAACTAAATGAATCTCAAGTTGCAGTTCAAAGACCTATAGAAACATAAGGGTTTTTTGAATTTGTCTCGACTTCTACCCCTCTTGGCAAGAGAAGAATTCATTTTTTAGTGGACCATCGGAAAGGAAGGACACGAGAAAGGGATGAAACAAACACTAAAGCCCTACTGCGCAACCATTGGGATGCACCTGAAGTCTAAAAATGACATCAAATAAGCCTATCCAACAACATCACCAAGAACTTGGGCAAGATAGAGAGCAATACGAGTTTCTTCTGCTTCCCAGTTCTCCGGCAATTCCTCGAGGAGCCCGACTTCACTCCACCCTCCTCCCATTGATCCTACCCTTCCTTCCCCTCCTAGAAAGCCCCTAGACTCCACAGAACACTCATCCTCTTTGCCTACAGCACCGTGAGTCTCCTCCCACATGCCTCCATCCTCTTCTTCCTTTGGCAAGGATTGTCCTCTTGATAGTGCTCCTCCGTCCAAGACGCCTTCTTCCTCTTGGCGTCTTCCGAGGTGCTCAAGGTGCAAGGATGTGGAAGTCGGATGTTGCTCTTGAAGCCAAATTGTTAAAGATCCAAAGCCAAACTTCCCTCTGCTTGCAATTGGATCCGTCAAAGGTCAGTTCAGCACGTGATGATTGAAAGACTATCCTCTATAGTAAATTTCTTGGCAAAACTCCACCACTAGATTTCCTCTGCATTGCTCTTCCTAAAATCTAGGGTCTTCCTTACGATTCATATTATTGATTTTGCAACCAGATTTTTGTACTTTCAATTCTCCTCAGAGACTGAAATGATGCATGTATTCCTGAGTAGTTGGTTTGTTAGGGTCAGGCCTTAATCCTAATTCCTTGGAAACGCAGTTTCCAACCAATTTTAGAACAAGTGGACAAAGCTCCCACTTGGATTCAATTCACTGGCCTCCCTCTTGAACTTTGAAATCCCCATCTTCTTTGCCAAATTGCCTATTGCATTGATCAATTTTTAAAGATTCGATGAGGTCACATTAACTAGGTTTAGGGGTAAATTCGCTAGTGTGTCCTCGACCTTGGAAAAACCCTTGCTTTAGGGACTATGGATTAATGATGATTTCATCCAATTCTTCCACACAGTTCCATTTGAGAACTTTCGATGTGGTAAAATCAATCACCATAGTGCCCACCCTGAAGTTCCACAAAACACTATAAGGGGGATGAGGCCACCATGGAGGAGACTTAGGTTTCCAAGGTGGTTCTAGAGGTTGAAGATGACCTGGATTATGGGCCTTGGATTCAGGTCTAAAAGAGGACCACGGGTTGTAGGGCCAACCAATGCCAACCCCAATCATGCTTCCCCATCTTCCACTTTACATCAGGGTCTGACCCAACCTGGCCATAATTTTATAATGGAGGTCTTGCTTAAGACAATGGATCTCATGAATCACCCTAGGGAGGTGAGAAAGCATGTGTGTGGGACAATCTCCTTAAATGGGCAAAATGATCATCCTTTTTCTCTCAGTTCCGAGGCACCTCTTTCTGCTGCCATTGTCAGAGGGCACGATTATCATTCTGATCCTTCAGGTCCCAAGATGCCCTTCTCTACTGTTAGTGCCAGGGGGCAAACAACGGGGCCAGATCTAGCAAACAATAGTGTGCCACCATCTGTCCCGGTCTTCTATGCTTCCCTAAGCATTGACGGTAAAACATTTCCCACTACCTCAGTGATAGTAGACACAGGTAAGTCTCCAACTACTCAGGTTCCTAGTCCATTCTCCTCTAACCCTTTTGCTATTATACCGATGAACAGTTTAGAGACTAACGAGGGGCTGCCAATCCAACATTTGATATCTTCCCCTTTATTACCAAAGCCAATGACTCTCATTCGTATTGTCACGAAAGGTCATCGTGCACCCGCAACATCTTCGCTCAATGAACCGTTCATCGCTTTTGCATGCTTGTACAGATGCTTGGCAATATGTTTTGCCTTGGTTTTGTGTGTTTTTGCTTGAAAAATGTAAGCAAAAACAGTTTGCAGCACTACAATGCGGCCGCTCACCACGCCAAGCAAAACTACCCCAAAATGACTTCATTTTCGCGTGCTATGGCTTGTTTTCTACAGACTGCAACCACACGCGTAACGTCAGCTATCTCAAACCCCTAGAACCCCCCAAGTGGCATAGGGGTGGATGGGGCTTTGGGATAGTGCCGGGCGTTGATCGGTTTACACAAATTCGCACGTTAAAGTTGACGGGAACTTGTCATCGCGCCTGACACCCGGTAAGCAGTCGTTTATGAACTTACGACCGTTCGCTTTGCCTTCTAAAATCCTTATTTTCTCCGTTATCTCTTTTCTCTCTTGCACTCAAAGTGTTCATTGAATTGCTTATAAAGCTACCTTCTTTGCAAGACATCGGGACTTGTCCGCCGCTCGCTTTCGAACTAATCAACTTGCTCTTTTATAATCCTATGAGACCTGAGCGAGGTTGCAACTTGGCTGCCACTATGCGGGCGAATAATGCAAGGGTGTTTCCTGACTTAGGCAATCCCAGCTAAGTCCGAGAAGTTGGTATAATGGTGCTTCACGACTTAGGCAAATCTAGTTAAGTCCATGACTTTGCCGCAAGGGTGCCGCACGACTAAGGCAATTCCAGCTAAGTCTGTGACAGCATGACCAATCCTCTTCAATCCCCTCCTAGCCACCCTCATTTGACTTCCTTACTGACAACATGGCCATTGCCTTCAAGAGGGCGACGGACGATGGCTTGCTCGATGAGGAAGGTTCTGAGATTAACAACTTGGTCCATGACTCCTAGCTGATCTCGATCCAAAAGAAGGAACCATGGGTAATGGTATGCCTCCTCTTTCATTAAAACATAAAAGCAAGAAGAAAAAGATCTTTGGGTTGTTAAAGGAAGAATGTCTCATCATTTTCAGAGTCCATTTTTGCCTCCCTTTCAGACCCACCTATAGAGAATGTACTTTTGGAGGAAAATATTTCTTGCCAACCCCCTTTCCCTTCATCTTAAGTTTTATGACCTTTAGCAATATTTTCATGAAACTACGAAGGAACTTCTAAACGGTAGTGTCACCATGCTCTCTCACTATATTAGAACATTTAAACTCGATATTGTCATCTTGCTTGAGACCCATCTTCAAGAATGAGTCCCTTCGAGCGAAAGTTAAGGAAATGTTGGACGGGTGCTTTCTCTACTGCAAAAGGGAGGTCTAGGGAATTTTGGTGGCCTAAAAGCCTCATTCCTTCAAACACTATGGCTTTCCTCAGTAGGTAAGCAATTAACCGTATCACTAAAGCATCGGGTAAGCCGCCTTACCTTCTTTCTATGGTTTATGCTAGTGTAATTTCTCATCTTCGTAAATCCCTTTGGACTTTGTTTTTTCAAATTGATACCTCCTATTTTCCGTGGATTATCTACGGTAACATAAATTCCATTTCATGTCCTATAAATAAACTAGGGGGTGCCCCTTCGCTTTAACTCCGTCCATTTTGGATTTCAATGATTTCATTTTTTAAAATTATCTTATCGATATTGGATTTATTGGAAATCATTCTACGTGGTGTAATAATCATTTTGGAAGAAATCGAGTTTCTGCTCGTGCAGATAGAGTTTTCTATAATTTGTGGTATTTGGTTTTTAACAACACTATTGTTTCTCATTCTCCTTGTATAGCTTTCAATCACTCTCGTCTAGTCATCAAGATTGGTCACCTTCCCAGAAGAAACAATATTCACCTTAATATTAAAATTGAGTCGGACTTCTTTGAAATGGAGGGACTTATTAATCTTGGCAAAAACTTCTAGCCTAGAGACTCCCACTAGAGGGGGGCAAACCCATGACTTGCACCCCCTTGGTTGACAAACTCAATCACACCATCGCTAATTGGGATAAATCCAATAAACACAATACCTTGGACCCAATGTAGTCAAAGGCACTAAAAGGCGCAAAGGTGACAAAATGTGTAAGGTGCTAGCCCAAGCGAAATGACGTGCTCGCAAATATTAAAATTTTAAAACATATATAATTAAGGAAAAATTGAATAATTAAGCAAATATATAATTAAGCAAAGATTAACATTAAAAATCGAATAATTTCCCTAAAAAGTCAATGATCATCAAATTTGTAGATTCTAGACCATTATTAACAATGATTAACATGATTACAAAAGAAAGAGAGAAGCAAAGAGAAGGAGATGAAGAAGAAGCAGAGAGATGTAGGGGAAGATGCAAAAAGATGGCGAAGAGGGGTGTAGCTATCGGGGAGGAAGAAAGAGTGGGGGCTATTGGGATTAGAGAGTGGAAGACAGAGAGGGGGGTTGTCGAGGTCGAACGTGTCGAAGGATGGTGAGGGTGGCTGTTGGGATCGATGGGGGGTGATACAGGAGAACAATGCAAGGATAGTGACAGATGACACGAGGTGAGGAGGGAGAGGGGAGCTATTAAGGAAAAGGCATGGGGCAATAAAGGAGAAGGTAAGGCCAATAAGGAGGGAGAGGGGTGCTGTTAGGAGGGGAAAGAGAGATAGAGTTATCGTAAAAAGAAGAAACCATAGAGGTTTGCCTTGCGCACAAAAGAAGCTCACTTAAGGCTACCTTTGCACGTGCCACACCATCATTTGATTAGATTATTTTTAAGGGAAGATCTTGTGAAATCACGAGAGATGTGGGGTGGTCCAAGGAGGGGTGACAATGAACGATGAAGAGGAGATAGATAGAGAGAGGGGAAGAGCCCGTCGAAGAAAGACGACGATGTCATTGCTCACTAGAGAGGGAGATGTCACCGTCATCGTTGTTCATTGGAGAGAAAGACACCAACACCGCCACGATTAGGTTTCTGAAGGGGGTAGGGGCTCATGCATGTAGGGTTGTGTGGGGGTTAAGAGATGTTGACTCTGATACAATCAAACCAGAATCATGGAACCTCATACATTTAGGCTCGATGAATGCATCAATTGAACTATGCGGGCTAGGTGGTTTGATTAAACCAGAATCAAGGAACCTAATAGACCCACACATCAATCGAATCAGGAGGGCGCTTGGGCTCAAGCACGTGCCTTGGCCAAGCACAATAAAGTTGGGCCTCGCGTCGCTCGCTTGGGCGCTTAGGCGAGCACCCAATTGAACCTCAACATTAAAACAATCATTGCTTATCTAGAAAAAGGAGATGCAGTTGGGTTACTCATCAACTCTAAAATGATCTCCCTCCATTGCAACTACAATAAAGTTGTTGCCTTGCATAAATAACTTTACACTAAATGGTGGGTTAGAGTCCAAACCTAATGGTCCCTTACCAATGACATAAATACCAAAATTTCCACCAAGTCGCAAATACTGTAAGAGGAACTGGGTCCATCTTATCCAAACTGATAATCATCTTGACTTTCCTAACACCCCTAATATCCTTACTCAAATTGCTTATTGGTATAACAAC